TCAAGACTCTAAAATAATTACTAAGTCTCCATCCAAAAGGATCGGCTGAGTTAATAAATATTAGGATTAAATTTGCTTAAGTTTATACATAATCCAAGCAAATACAAATAGATAGAATCAAATTACCGCCTCGTCGAGGATAAGTTTGCCTCCAACAAAACTCTACATTATCCATAATTTTAAGTAGCATTCCATATTGCTTTCTCATGCATAAAGTTGCTTCATACAAGGCCTGTTCATCATTAGCCTCATCCAATTTGCGAAAAATTAAAATATTAGCAAGTTCTTCAGCACGCTGCCGGATAGCGTCATATGCATTGAGTAAATATTCCGGCATCCATTGATGCGAGTGCGTTATAAGCATATGTTGGACATAAACACCAACTGTAGAAGTACAGAGAGCTTCAATTAACCCAAGGCACTCAGAGCTGAATTGTGGTATCGATTGATTTGTTTTCGCAAGCTTTAAAATAGCACAACGAATTAGATTTAAGCGTGAACAATAAATAATTAACAATTTAATAAAAGCACCTTGAATACTTCTTGAACTATGTGTTCAATCCTGCGATTTGAAAACTGATCTTGAATCTGAGCCATCGAATATAAGATTTCTAAATGAGGTCGAACATATTCTGCGTTATAAGAATCAGCAGCGCGAATTAATTGGTTTATAAGCTCATCTGATAAAGCTTGATTATTAGTTGCAAAATGATTAAATATATCACGAGATGCTTCGCTATCAACACCATCACGGATTTGTTTCATGAAAAACAAGAAATATTCCTCTTGCTCGTGTCGCTCAAAGATCAATCCAATTTCACGATCACTCAATTTTAAAGGAGCCGGAATTCTTGGAGTTCGTGATATTAATGAAATATTGTGTTCGGGTTCAATGCTGCATTCTAATAGCAATGTACGTAACGTAGTCAATAAATATCGGAATGGTGGTAGTGAAAATTTATCCCCCATTCTTCGTTTACGTGACTTTAAAGGCGATAATTCATCCATAAGGAACAATTGAATCAGCTCTCCAACAAATCCACGTTTAATCATATAAACACGCTCAGGTACACCGGATGAAGCTATATAAGAAAGTAGGTAGAAGTATTGTT